CGCAGTGTAACTAGAAATATTAATTCTTTCACTGTCGGTCGAAAAAAGTTGCACGGTAAGCGAGCCAGATTGACGTAGTTTGACAGAGTTTGAGCAAACGAGATGTACAAAGACTCTGTCTTTGCAAAAATTGCAAAATTCAAAACAAGGAACGAAAATTCTGTCCAAAATGACAAAAAAAAAAAAAAAAAATTACAAAATTCAAAAAGGAAGAGTACTAAAAGGTAAAGGAAGAATAAGTTTAGCAAACGGAACGTTGTTCGGCATTATAAAAGCTCGAAAAGAGGCAAGTTGAAAAAATAGTCATTCGCAGTGTAACTCAAGTTACGCGTGTTATTATACACACGTGTATAGAAATAAACGGTGTATTAAGTTACGACTTTGGCATGGAAACCCGTATTGTGTGCAAACTCACACGGGAAAATGGAAACGGTGTGCTCGCGCGCCGCTCATTCTTACTCCCGTTCTTTAATTGTGCCATTAAAGTTGCACGCGGTAGAGCCTGGCGTTTACGCGGGTAATTCGCGTTTTCAGCAACGATGAAACACAACCGGCAGACAGAGAGCATCGTGGAATACGAAACGAGGCGCGCCGCACAAAGCGAAGCCGGCTTTTGTTCCCATCGTTCGAAATTTACGTGGCGTATCGTGAACCCAGGAACAAGCGGACATTACGAGTTATAATAAACTCAGTCACATTTCGTTTCGCGAAACTCTCGGTTGCGCGTATAGAAGAGTATAAAAACTCTTCTCCCCGCGTATTCGCGCGGCTCAGTGTTTGAAAGGAAAAAAGGAATCTCAAACCTTTGTGCGAATGGAGAGTTGCAGAATCGTTTTTCGAGCGTTACAATGGCAGCAGTCGCTTTGTCGTTGTTAAACACGACACGGCGGTGAAAGATGTCTTAAACGGATCGTTGTTCTTTTCGTGACTGTTCCGTTGTTTTCTAACGAAACGGCGGGTGGAGAAGTAACGACGGATTAATTTGTTTCTAGGGGAGAAGCTAGAGGAAATATTATTTATATTCTCCTTTTCAGTGTATGAATTTACAAGAAATCTAAAGAAATCTTATTCTTTGTTCCAACTGAGATTAAACTGCGGTGGCAAAATGAAGGAAAGTAGCAGCCTTTGCTACGATTTTTGAACATCTTGTTTCAATTTTTCTCTCAATTTCTTTTTGCTCAACGGTAGAAAGGAAATTTTTACATTTCGCGAACGTGTAACTGAATTGTGAAATTCAATCAAATAATTAACAATAACTGATACGCCTAAATGGCCAATTCAGAGAAAATGTAATATCATTGAGGAAAAATTGAAACAATGATTGCAGTCAAGTTTTCACTGTATGATTGATCAACTAAGGGAGGGAAACAAATAAATATAAAATAAATAATTAATGCGACATAAAGTAAAATACAACGAAGAAAAGGAAATTTTGATATATTCAAAGAGAAGAAAATAGAGTAAAAATTAGATACAATTCGCCTAGTAATGGTTTCCTCCACCGGGCGATGCGCTATGTTTCTATATTTCTAGATCCATATCTGTAATTCCACGCGAACGACATTGTGTCGTGAACTTTCGTTCGCGTCAATTTCCTGTTGCGGAAAAGCATAGTCGAGGTATGAAATATACATCGCCGCGACGATATTTCTTTATGAGAACGTACGAATCGATTTGAGTTCGGTTTGCGTGTGTGATCATGTCGCTTGTTGTGCAACACAGCATTACGAACAACGTAATGCTATAGCGAACAACGAGTCTCTTGCACAATTAAATTAATATTATCGATGAATGTTATTTCGTAAGATTTCTGTAATTCTATTTTTAATCACAGGATTCTAGATATTGGAAGAAACGTATTGTTTCTAAATTTTTTCTTACAATTCCATCACGTACTTATATTATTTCGTTATTTTATTATTTCATCAAGATTCTGTAATTTCGTAAAGATGCATGTATTGTATTTTTTATAAAATTCTTCCGAGATTTATACTAAATATATAATATTATATTGTTTCACAAAATATTTTTACAATTAAATTAATAATATCGATGAATATTATTTCGTAAGGTTCTTCTTATAATTTTAACAAGAAATTTTCGCACAATTGAATCGATAGTATTGGCGAATACTATTTTGTATAGATTCGGGAAGACACGTTGTCTCTAAATGTCTCGGAATTTTCAAGAAGTTTCGCATGGACGAGGGAAGTTAACGTAATTCCATTCGTTTCGTATCGCACGATCACTTTTCGTTAATGGCATTCAATAATTCTAAAATATTTATAACAGGTCAGTTTATAATAACTGTGGCTGTGTTTAACGCGTTGCTGTTAAATTCTCTTCGCCCGAATCAATTTTATTCCGAGGCTCGACGAACAACGGGGCCGCTTAACGTAATAAAATCAAATCGAAGCGGAGAGCGCGCGCGGAAAACTGGTTTACCGCGCCAACATCCCCGTGTTTCTCGGAATAGAATAGAAAAAGGATTTTAAGTTGATCAACGCTCGTTATTACCGTGATTCGTTCGCTGTTACGGAAACACAATTTTCGGGCTTACCTTTCGCAACGAGGCATACCGTAACGATTCGAGGATTTTTCTCTTAGATACGTGCGCACCCGGAAAATGCGCATCCTCCTCCGCACTTTCTCGTCGAGGCAGCAGACCGTGGCTTAACGTCGATAATTTTCTTAATTCGTTAACTCTTAATGCATGATTTAGTCGAATCCCGCTTGATCGTGAAACTATTAAAATACAGTGACGATGTGTGCGTGCGTGCGTGTGTGTGTGTGTGTGTGTGTGTGTGTGTGCAATGCATCTGCTGGCTCGTAAAAGTATTCGGACGCACTCGACGATGAAAAACTTGTCGACACTTGAAACTGTTACAACCTCGTGAAAAAAGAAGGAATTACACACGAGTCCACTTGAACTCATTTTGAAGCCTCTACTTTGACAGCTGTTTCTTCCGAAGATATTTTAACATTACGCGGCGGGTGGGAAAGTTTTCTTCAAAAAGAAGTAAAAATTCAACCGTCTGTGAACAATGTTTTGTATGACGTTTGAAGACTGAAGTTCCTTTTGAAACTTGCTGTACAATTTTCTTTTCTCTTTCGTTGTTTTATTGAACTTTGAATGTTACGATCAAAAATTTTAAAAATCCTTGGCACTTACCATGGCTCACGAAAGTCTTCAAAGAAGTTCCATGTATAAAACATTCAAATATAAAATGTTTGCAGCTGAGTATAAGTGTAGTTAACTATAACTGTGGAACATTCATAATTATTTTAAAATCTCTATTAGATAAATTGAGAGGAAATCACCGGTATCTTATAGTTCTGTCACTTGCAATTCTAAATAGTGCAAAATATTTCGACTGTCCACTGTTAATACCAAATTAAAGCAAGAACGGTCGGTAAAAGCGCTTAAATCTGTTTTGCAAATTGTTCGAATTGGTATTCCTTTACAGCCTGCGCCGTAGAATCAATTTCTCACGGAACAAAGAGGATTGCGGCCCCTTTAATCAAATAAAATTTGACTAATTTGATTTTCTCGAAAATCAAATGTATATATGCTGGTGGCAGCAGTCTCTCTCATCGATTTTTCCACAGCTTCGTTTCGTAGCTTTTCTACCTGCAAAAATTTGTCGCCGCGTAATTTTTGAAACGGTTTAAACTATTATGTTTTTCCACGTTGTTACACAGTTTCCGCTTTCAACTGTATTTTTCTTTTTTCCCTTTTTCTGTAATTTTATTTGCCCTGTAATCTGTATCCGCGTTTGTCCAGCAGACTCGTTTCGGAAACCTGCGCGTCACTTTCCGTGAAATACGCTCGTCGACAATTTTTCCTCTCCCGCCGATTATTTGTATTTTTCAGCGATATCAAATGATTTCCCTTTCTCTGTTTCTCTCATCCTTTTATTATATATTTTTTTTTCATATTGCGTTTTATGCAATATTGCACACTTAAAAATTCCCTGCAAATGCATAAAAATCAGAGAACTAACGTAGCAAATATATGTATTTCATAATTATTTATTCTTCGCTATTTATATTTTCATTATTTATGTTTTTCAAGAATATAAAACCCCTGTCATTAATTTACACGGGGACTATGATACCATGATAATCTAGTGACTATACATATGCATTTGTGAATTGTGTTATAAAGTTTGGCCGCGAAAGGACACATTTTATAATGGAATTCATTTTCTTATCATGGAAATTGCGCAATCGACTGAACACTGCACCTAAAAATATACTTTTATTAAGTAGCTGTCTACGACAAAAGTTGCAACTCATTAATTTTTCGCTGCATTTTCTAATACGTATTTTCTCTTGCTTTTATAAATTAATTTCGAGCGTCGTCTTTTACTTCCATTTTGTAAATCGATACAAAGATACACTTAAATTGATGAATTCATATTATAAAATTGTAATGTATAAATGCGACACATATTTTACTTTACAATATTATAATACACACATAACATACAAATAACACATATTTTACTTAACAATCTTGTAATAGAGATGTATTACTCATTTTAATATATTTTCAAGTGACGTTTTACAATTTCACAATATATGTATATTCGTTACAATATACTCACCTAATCTGATATATTTGTTCCAATACATTCATTCAAATAATTATGACTAATTGTTACCTTAATAATAATCGTGTATAATATATTCATTGCAATACACCTGATCTAATATATTTGTTTCGATATATTCGTTCAAGTAATTATAATTAACGAAACAAATATATTATTATCTCAATAATTAATCGTAGAAATTTTTATTCTGTTATACATCTCCATTAAATTACGAATCTGTTAATCGAAACACGTTTGAGAGTGGTATTACTCCAAAACAGTGGTATCACTGACTCGCGATCGGCAAGAGGCATTGCTGCGCATGCGCGGACGCATACCTACGCAGGAATCCGTGCCACTGATTGGCGGACGTCACGACACTCCGAAACAGCGAGCGTACGTGTATGACTCGCGTAGTCAGTCTCGCGCCGAGCGTCTTACAGTGCGCATTGTCGGGATTTAATATTGTTTCGCGGTTCGAATCGGTGAATTTGAAATACTTCCGGCGACGCGGAATCAAACCACGCCGATATACCGTCGTGTGCACATGACAGGCGGCCAGTGACGCTTCACGCGTGCGACGGACGAGAGCCAACGGGTCGTTAGTTCGTTTGCATCCGACGAGCACGGACGTTTTCGAAGGTTAGCATTATCTGCTTTTACACGAAGGAGTTGTGAAAAGGTCGGTTGTGCAACCTAAGCCGAAACGAAAGTTGAAATTGTTCTTTTCTTTGCTCTTTTTTTTGTCGACCTAGTCTGGCCTAGTGGTAACACAGTTGTAACCTTTTTAATTTTCGGTTACTTCGAAATTTTACCGGGAACTTTTGAAGCGTGTCTCCTTTGATTGCATTGGTACTCTTTGTCACTGAGAATTGTAGATTCAGTTGAGGATTCGTTGAATTTAATTTCGATTTAATTACGTTTATTTGAGAATAAATTAGTAGCTGTCGTAAGAGAACCGGGAATTTTAGAAACTTTCTACCATGTTTGCGGAAGTGACGAATGCAGCAACATTACGTTTGCTATAGTACAATTGCTGTTATATTATTATGTATAGTATGTTGTAGTATTAGACACGACTATGCTGTTATTTACATGTAGTTATTTTACATTAATAATTATTATTATAATATTATAATATTATTGTATTAATATATTATAATATAATATAGATAATAATATAACATATTATTAATATATATTATATTTTATATTATAAGATTACAGTTTACTACAATAATATTAATATTATTATATTTATTAAAAAAATATTAGTATTAATGCTATTACGTTAAATATTAATATTACTGTTAATATTACAACATAACTGAAAGCATCATATCAGTGTCCAAGTTTGCACAGCAAGTTCTTGTTCCTCTCCAACTTTCATTTCTCGACGAAAGAGATCTACTTCTAGTAGAGCCGCAATTTCTTTCATCGACGAAAAGTCTCCTCTCTATAGGTACGTTATTTGTTAGTTTGAAATTTAACGCTTGGCTAATCGGACGAGTTATACGATTAACAATCAACCGTGCAATTCGGTTGACGATTGCGATAAACTTCGATAATTAAGCCGCTTGTTCATCGAACTGTTATCGACAGTCTCTCTCCGCCCCGCGAGCAATAATAACGATTCTCACCGTGATCTTGTTCGACGATCAAGTGCGTCGGAGAATGAATCCGTTTTGCTCTCGTGTAGTAATAATAACAGCTGCGGTCAGCTGAGCAAGAAATTCGTGGATTTAAAAATCCGGATCGTGCAACAAGTTTTCTTCCTCCTCGTCGCGTTTGCTCGGTGACTAATAAACGTTGAAGGAAAACGAAATCGTTTTGGATTAATAGCGCGCTAAGAATGCAATGTATTGTATATACATCGTCGGCTCAATGTTTGGAATCAGCAACGTGTTTGAATCTTGGAGGAATTTAAAAAAGAAAATCAACTCTGTGTTCTATTATCTCTGTTCGAAAGTTCGTCAAGGAAATGATCATACTCGATGTCTGTCGAGTAGAATATTTAATAACTTCGCTTTGAACATTAGGTGTTAAATGTAACAATAAAATAATAATGAATATTATAATTACTGGATAAATATTGCAGAATAAATTCCAGAATTATTTGCAAATATCGAAATTCAAAACCAAACTAGGAGATCGGTATATCAATACGAATTTTCGATGATTGCTGCTGTAGGATAATTATTGTTGTGTAGGATAATTACTGCGGTTAGTAGGCCATAGCCATTTATTCCCGGCGTTCGTTCAGAATGGAATATTCGATCAAACATGGTACAATTTCTACAAGTATAGTATATCTGTAATGACGTTGAATTTGTCTGATATCGGTATTCAATGCAATCAACGATTAGTAATTGTGATGGAATTACTCGATTATTAATCGCGACGAGTATTTATATTTCTATTCAACTGACGTATGATTAGAATAATTGACGACGAATATAGTTATTAAATCCTCAATTCACTTGACGATTTAAATTGATTGCGTTTGTTCAAACATCGTGATGTTATCCATGATTTATCGTTAATAACGTTTGAGCAGAATATTATTGAGCAAGAAATTTCGAGCGAAATTCGTTTATGTTTGAAAGAATTCGGTAAATCGATAAGCAACCTTGACTATGCTTGAATACGTAATAAGCAGCTTCTTGGAAGCGGAATGTTTTTTTCCGAGTGTATGTTCATGCATTTCTACGCTTTTATAAACTCAAATCTGTTTGAATCTGCTCAAATAAGAAATTTCACTCACTAAATATCATGAAATGTATTTTACTTTCGACATTTTTGTTTCGCTACGTTGTCGAATGTTATGAATTTTATATATTTCACAATTTTACCATTTATAATTATTTACGTCATTTATTACTGTACTATTGTACTACCATTCACTGTAATTATTATATATATTCTTCATTATATATTCTTCATTATTATATTATAAATTTCTGTACTTTCCTAATCCCTAAAAATGCACGAACATTCGCAATAATTTTGTAAGAGGAATATTCTTCCGCGAATACTTCTCAATTCCATTTTATTCTTTATGATTAATTGAAAATGTTGGCTACGTAACTACACGTCGGAGAAAACACTTGCATTGTTATCGATTACTCGTTAAAGCGTATCGACATCATCTGTCGTGATTTTCCTCGAAGTATTTACTTAACATCGTACGTCGGTGCAATACTTAAATTCACCGGTTAACTGCAAATATTTTTTTCTCTTCGATTCATTATACCACTTCGTGCTGAATATACAACTGGATACGCAACTAAAAAAAAAAAAAAAACGCGTTAATGATTCCAACTCGTTCAACTTCAGTTTGAAGCGCGTTATTTTATTGAGCAATTATTAGAAATTTTGTTTTATTGAGCATTTATCTACTCAGCATGTGGTATTTTTACTATATGCGTATACGGCATTGACCGAAGGTTAAAAATTATTAGCTGTTGCCTTTTGAACCTGAAATGTACATAAAGTGATTTAAGTATTCGGATACTTACTGTAGAAAAATGTTATGTACAGTGTGTAAAAGCCAGTTCGAAACAAATGAAAATTGCAGCTAGTAATATCTTCAATATTTTCAATATCTTTATTATTTTATTAATATGTTACGAGATTCTCGTAAAGTATTATCAAATGATATTAACAACTGTCTGACAAGATACAATTTATTTTACAATTAGAGATTGTATTGTCTTACTGCCTTACATGTACACTCGATATCATGCAACTCTTATATCTCGATTTGTTTCAAACTTGGTCAATACAATCATGATTAAATTATGGATCTATATGCAGTTTGAAATTTCATTGAATACAGTTAAGAGGGTATTCCTTCTTTCGATACTTTATATATTTTTTGTGTACTGCGTGTATTCTTTGCATCTCCACGTCTTTACATAAATATGCAAAGATCACGAAAGAACCAAAGTGCAGGGACATTATCCATGTCACTATTAGACTTTGGATTCATATTTTTATGAGAAATCGAACCTAAGCAGACGTGTTTCATTTACTAAGTACCCTACTCGATATTATTATTTATATCTTCTGCATATTACATATCTATTATATTTTTGCACGTTTAAATTTTACAAATGCACAAGCGTCTGCAGTTTATTGATCATGACGGCATCTGCATGATATTGAGTTCTACTCGTAACATGTACATTCAGAAAAAGTTTCCATAAATGAGTCCCTCAAATGACGAGTGCCATAAATCCAAAATTACGAGAAATAATAGGAATTCTAGTTTCATTTCACCACCGTTTAAGTTTCGTACATTGTACACATATTTTTTTTATATTAACAAAAAGAAAAAGAAAATAACAGTCAATTCGTATATTATGAAAATATACGAAATTAAAGAAACGTAGTAACTATCACAATTAATATTATACGAAATTAAAGAAACGTAGTAACTATCACAATTAATATTATTTCTTTACATAATAAAGCTGCAACACTACTCTCAAATTCGTTACCATAAGTACCATGTACACGAGAGATGAATTTTCACAAAGGGCACTTTTAGTGCCTTACTAGTCCGAATACTATCGTGACTATAGATCTATAGATCTGCAGATCTAGATCTGTGGGTTCGATCTCGGCTTTCTATCCGCGAGGGACGGATAGAAGCTCGAACGGCGGATGCAAACGAATTAATCAAAGAGACGGGAAACGGTTTCGTAGATCGGCGGCGGAAGTAGATTAGGAGGAAGAGGGAAGAGGCTCGCGTAAATGGCGGGAGAACGCGTCGCCATGGGTACCGTGTGTTGTGGCCCGCGGGTGTAGTGCGAAACCCCCCGTGAATCGAAGGGAAGAGAGACCTGAGGGACACAGGAAGAAAGGGGAGAGAGAGAGAGAGAGAGAGAGAGAGAGAGAGTGTGAAAGGCGCGGGAAAAAGAAGGAAGAAAAAGGTAGAGAACACGCGTGGACAAGCGTGACCGGCCGAAGACTTCGAAAGGCTACTCTCTCTCGTGTGGCCGTCACGTCGTGAAGAGGCAGAGCCGGAGAAAGAGGGAGAATAATGCGGACTCGTTGCTTCCGCCTTGGTCAACAGCACGTTCAGATCTGCTCGTAGTAAGTACAGAAAAAAAAAAAAGAAATTAATTTCTCCTCCCCCTCGCGTGTGTCTTGAAAACTGGGCGAGTTTGAAGCAAATTTTCATTTGTTCTTTCAACTGTTGGATTCCGTGTAATGGAGTCAACACGCTTAGAAGAGTTTGTTCCCTTGTATGAAATAGAATGATTTACAATGGTTTAGAATGTCTCTATAATGATTTAGAATGTTTAATGTTGTTAGCGATATAGAATGTCTCTAAAGCATGTCCTTATATATATTTGGTTATCATCGTCAAGTGAAAGGGGATGGAGCATAGATGACCAACTATTGGATCTTGCCCTTATGACTAACTATTCACAGTCCACTTTTATGTGGGCTGTTGCTAGCTTATTGTCAGTATTTGCATAGATTCAATATTGTCCGGGTTGGTCATCCAACACAACGTCAATGGTGAAAGATTAACACTGGAACAACTGCTATATATGTATGTTGAAATATTCTGCATAATTCAAATGATAATAATCAAAGTAAATTTAATATTAATTAATATTAATTTTGATACAAAAATGCCAGTATCTTTTTGAGCAACTGCGAAGATAGATAATCTAGTGTTGTATAATAAATGGACGATAAACAGAGTAAATCTCTTGCATTCAGTCGTTGCAAGACTCTCTGACTGTACAAGTCGATTTCAATATCGTGATTTTATTTTCTCCAGTTTTGTCGAGCGTTTGTTTCGAACAAATTAAAATTAAAGATCCACGCTACGTTTAAAATTGATCGTGTTCACAATTCAAATGAAACTATAAATTGGATGTCCGTGTTAAATTGGATAGAGAACTGTATGCTCTCTAAGTGATCTCGATCTATTCAAGGATGTCTCCAGCTGGGTCTAATCAGTCAATAAAAGGTAATGCAGGCCGTGGCAACTCACTATAAATCGTTACGACACTGGTCTTTGATTCGACCATTCTTACTTGTATATATCTTCTCTCTGATCGACAAGACACGTCAAGTTCGCAGTATTTTGTAACAAGACGATGCATGTTTTGGAAATTTGAATGATTTTTTTTTCTTTTGAAATATCTTTCACTATTTCTTTTGCTACAATTTGATCTTTCGTATATTATATTATAAAACATTATATATTATTATTATATTATATTTTATTATTATATATTATTATTATATTATTATTATATTATATTATAAAACAGTATCCAAGAGATTAAAGTGTAAAGTAAATATAATAAAGATCATTCTGTGAAAAAATCACTCGAATTTCCAATAATCTACAAAAACTTCGTCTCGACGAATTTCATGGTTCTCGCATGAATGGATTGATGCAATTATTTTAAGAATCATTGAGAATAATAAATACGAAAGATGTGTCTCTCATTAATTTCCAGCACGACGACAGAACGATAATAAAATAAAATAACGCTGATTGAAGTATCTAAATTAATTTCCGAGAGCAATGAAAATGGGAAACTATTTGGATACTTCGTGTGTAATTAACTGTTCCTTTTTCCTTGTATATCCTATAAAATTAATTAGTTTGTTCCACGTTATCGGTATTTTTTAACTCGTGCATAATTGGACAACATTGGATCCATTATTTTTCGTAAATGAGGTTTCAAGGTTTTGCACAAGGGAACGCAGAAAAGAAGCGAATTAAAATTCAATCAGCGTCGTTATCACGGGGAATGATGTCCAATTTTCAGACTTAAGGGACGGTGAAATGACCGCGGCTGAAAAAGCGAAGAGGAATCCCGTTCCTTATTGAAATACTGCACGAGGAGAGTCGTCGAATTAGCGTAATTGGATTATTTCAAGTTCATGCTTTGAACGGCGCGTTAGGAAAACGTGAAAAAAGAAAAAGAAAGAGAAAAACGCGAGGCTTTATCAAAGTAGCAATTTTCTTTGACGAAACTCGAGACCTGCCGCTCGAGTGCCACGCACCGTTCGCGAAAGAAAAATGTAAAAAATGTAAAAAGTCTTTTATGGAGTTGCCACTTCTGATGGAGAATTTTGATTACAAATTTTACTCGTCTCGTTTGCTTAATTAATTATTTCTGTCTCGAAAGTTGAAACGTAGAAAAATCAATCGAACGCAGCCGATTGAAATTGAAGTAAATTAACAAATAATGGAACATTTACATGTTAAACAGAGGGAGTAGTAAACTAACATTCACAGTGATATATCATTTGCAGTGAGTAACATTTGTTTTTGAATATGTTTGAGCTCGTATGAGCGTGTATGAGACGCGAGAAATTTTGTACTTTTGACAATTTCTGCACTACAGAATCAGAAACTATTTCTGCGAAATTATATGCAGAAACAAGTACTTGAAATAAAAGTACTTAATAAAACAAGCAGTTAAAATAAAAAGTCATTCTGTTTTGGGAGTAAACTGTACTGTGATAATTTGGAGGGAATAATTTGCTTGTTGAAATAAACTAATCAAAACATTTTCTATATCATTTGCATTACTATTCTCAATCGTTTCACTTATACCCTGAGAAATACGTTGGAAACTTGGAAATTAAATGAAATATCATTTTGTAGTTGACACGAAACATTCGACTGATAATAAACTCTGTTGGCAAGTTCTTCCACTCAAGGGTAATCTGATTAAGACGACACAGAACATCAGTGAGCTTTCAATTTTTTTTCGTGAAACGGAACTTCCGCGAATCCTTACGATATAACTGAAATCTTAGAGTCACAAATCTCATTATGGAACCGTTAATCTGAAGGTGAATTAGCTTAATTTGGCGAGCAGGCATGTTGCAGACAGCGAGCTGCGAATTGTTGACAGCTTGTTCAAAGGACACTTGTCTCTTCGAGATATTGTCCGTGAACTATGAATAGAATATTTTATGACAAAGGAGAAAATGAAAATTATAAGGACGAGGATGAGGATATAAGACAAATTAAAAAGACAGATGAGAATGACGATGATATGTATTCTTACATCGAAAACATTTGAGACATCTCAAGTCAGAAAAATGACAGAATAGAATTTAAAACGATTCGAGAGATAAAGTGAAAAATTATTTCGTTCGACAGTCAAACGATAAAATAAATCAAAGATAATCGTTTGCTTATTTAACTGAACTAACACAAGATTATTTCACGATAACATTTAGTTGAATGTGTTATTTGAGTAATTTTCAAATCGAGTTTATAAGAAGCTTGCAACTTTCTCGCAAAACCTCACTCGAAAAATTTGTATCAAACATTAGCATTCACCGAACTTTTTGCTTTCAAGTAAATAATTTACCAGATATGCCCCCCCCCCCCAAATTGGAATTAAATAGAATTTGTTGCGAGAATATATATACTTGAGAAAAAATTGGAGCGCAAAATTGGGTTAAATCGAGAAACACTCGGATATCGCGAGGTATCGCGCTCGTTTGGGATAGATTGGCAGTGTTTAGCGCCGGAGTTGCATGCAAACGATCGGACACGGACTCGCGAGCGTGTAAATGACGTTAGAAAGTTGCGAAAGAAGCGGCTGACTCATCCGCCAAGTGCTTTTTCTCATCGTTGCGGAACGATTTTGTGGCCGTGCACACGTATACATACACATACATACGTGTCGTGCAAACGAGAATATACAGGGGTAGCTGATGGCGTCGACGTCGAAAGCCGTGGCCGACGCTGACAAGTTTCGACTGTGCTTTAAACTTTTAACGATCGTCGTACTTGATAATTTAGATGTCGTTAACGCGTGGCGATTTTGTCATCGCTTGTGTGCTTGTGTTTGAGCTAGAAGCTCTCAGCCTGTTCTTCGAAACACCGGAGGTATTGTTACGCGATATGGATGTCGCGACGAGAGCTGAAAGGTTGACACTTGCGAAGAAACATGAACTGAGGTTTTTTTTTTTAATGGGAAAATTTTCAAAGTTCAAGAAAAACACGCAATTTCTGGAAATTTTCTTCTCAAACTTCTCTCGTGTTGAGACACGTTTGACGAGAATTGAAGTGATATTGATTTTTCGCGGCTAATTTTGTTAATTATGCAAGAATACTTGCGAGGAAAGATAAATGTGTAGTTTCGATGAAATTAAAATATTACGCGTAAATTTTGCATATTTCAAAATTCAAGTAAAACACGGAATTTCTGGAAATTTTCTTCTTAAATTTCTCTCGTGTTGAGACACGTTTGACGAGAACTGAAGTGATATTGATTTTTCGCTAATTTTGTTAATTATGTAGGAATACTTGCGAGGAAAGATAAACGTGTAGTTTTAATGAAATTAAAATATTACACGTAAATTTTGCATATTTCAAAATTCAAGTAAAACACACTGAATTTCTGGAAATTTTCTCTTTAAACTTCTCCCCTCTTGAGGTACTGAAGAAAAACTGATTTTGCGCGAGTAACTTTGTTAATTATGGAGGAAAGATGGACATACAATTTCAATCTAATTGAAATATTACATACGTACGAATTCGAAATTTTTAAAAATTAAACTTTCCGAACGAGTTTGGAAAGAAACGAATTTTCCACGATTAATTCTGTTAGTCGTATAGCAATATCTGTGAAAGAGAATAAACGTGCACGTAGCTTCGATGGAATTATGAAAATATTATAAATTGAGAGGAGCTTTTCCGGGAGAAGCTCGTTAATCTTTCACTAAATCGTTCTTAATTAATCGTTGAATTTTTGAAAGTTTTCCCTAGAAATACCATTTGGAAATATACGTAGTCGCCGGAGGAAAATTAATCTTTCGCAGTTAACTTTGTTAATTACGTAGGTAGAGAAAAGGACATTCAGTTTCGATTGAAATATTACACTTATAAGATAAGAAACTCGTATAAATTTTTCGGTTACCATAATTTTATCCTTAATTCTTTAATTAAACTTCTAAATTTAAATTTCGTTCCAATGATATATTGATCGACACTTTGAAACAATAATTCCAGTATGTGAAGCACAATTCATTAATACGATACGTTTTTCCTTGCCCTGAAATTTATGATATTGTCGAAGAGTAGCATTATGCAA